GAGCAGCAGAAATTTGTTTTATGGCGGCAGGATAGAATATTCAATTAACTTAGTTAAATTTCAAAAGTGTACAAATAGAAAAGTGTACTGATTAGCTTTGCTGGCTATCCATAAAAAAATATTTGCCTCATAGGAGTAAGTCATAAAAATAAAGACATTCGGCGGCAGCACCTATGGCTCAATGAGTAGGGTGCCAGCCCCATATCCACAAGGTGGCGGGTTTGAACCCAGCCGTGGTCAAACAGCAACAACAAAAAAATAGCCGGGTGCTGTAGTTCCAGCTACTCGGGAGCTGAGGCAAGAGAACTGCCTAAGCCCAAGAGCTGGAGGTTGCTATGAGCTGTGACGCCACAGCACTCTACCGAGGGCAACAAAGTGAGACTCTGTCTCTAAAAAATAAATAAATAAAGGCATTGATAAAGACTTGTAGGATGATTTTTTTTTTTTTTTTTGAGATGGAGACTCAAGCTGTCTCTCTGGGTACAGTGCCGTGGCATCACAGCTCACAGCAACCTCCAACTCCTGGGCTCAAGCGAGTCTCCTGCCTTCACCTCCCAAGTAGCTGGGACCACAGGTGCCCACTGGATTCAACCCTGCCATCTTAAGTGTATGTGGCTGGTGCCTTAGCTACCTGAGCCACAGGCGCTGAGCCAAGTAGGATGGTATTTTGACTAAGTTTTACCTCTCTGGTTCTACCAATTAGTTGCATGGAAAAGGTCAGAAATATTGGCTTCAGTGTATTAAGAGGATTTCCAATATTTTGAACTTGGCCCGAAAAAAATATTTAGGAAAATATGAAAGGAACAAAAATCACAGCATATAAATGCCTTTCGGGGTGTAACCTCTGAAATCTCATGTAATCCTCTAAGTCACACTTAAACCTGAAATACCTCAGGGATGTGTTGTGTTCCTTCTCCATTTTTTTTAACCATTTACGTTTTCAACAAATGTTCTGTAACTACCCTCTATGGATTTTCCTTGAGTCTGGATTTAGTGAACAAAAATAAAAAAAACCCTTCTAAGAGTATATAGAATGATTACATCTACACATTTAAAATACGTATGTATATGAACATGTGTAATTATAAAAAATTATAAAAAGGAATTTGTAGGTGTCATTATTTGAGGCAAATGAAATACAATAAATAAAATTACAAAATTTGGTGGTCTAAAAATAACAATGAAAATTATCTTAAATCCATTTAGGAACTAAACGGTATCCTAAACATATGTGAGAAGCAAAAGCAATAAGAGAAACTTCCTTGATCTAAAATAAAATCAATACTAAAATCACAACCTATTTAGAAATAATAGATGGTCTACATACTAAAACATGAGATAGTATCAGAGTGGTAGCCAAATAAAAATAGGCACATTTAAATGCATTTATTAGAATATTAAAAATGTATCTACCCCAAATTAGTTATTAAAATTATACAAATATTGTATAAGAAAGCCAAAGTAAATAATAAAGACAATAGGAAAATAAAACGAACATATTAAAAGCAATATTAAAGAAAATAATGACAAACCTTGTGCTTTTGAAACACAAAACAGAAAAAAGTTTTGGAAAATTCTAATAAGAGAGAAAATACTCAAACAGCAGGAATGAAAAACGGATAGCGTACAGACACAAAGAACATTAAAAAATATGGATTTTAAACTTTTATAAATGTTATTATGGCCCACAAGCAATTGGCAGAACAAAAATCCTCTCAATTTTATACTAGGCCACAAATATAAAGTTAAGGAAACATGGGCAGTTCATAGTTAAACTATACAAACCATACTAATAAACAGGGAGTATGAGGCCCACAAACTTATAAATTATGAACCTTTCCAACACTAATGATAAAATGTTTAACTATATTATGTTTAAGGTAATAAAAAAGCTCAAAATGTAAGCCAAAACTAAAAAGAACAAAAAATGTAAAAAATAGATTAGGGTCTAATGCAACTTTTGATAAGAAAAAGATTCAAAAATGAAAATGATTAAACAATAGATTGGCTGGATACAGTTAATACAACAGACTTAAAATATCTGGAATGAAATCTGAGGGAAAGAGTAAGGATAAATACAAAAGAGTCTATATGATGTGAAGATTAGAAAATAAACTAACTGGTATATTAGAAGCTAATACTTCTTCAAGAGATAAAGCTGAAAATACTCTAGAATTCTTAAAAACTGGCAATTGTCAAACTATTCCTAACATCAAACAACTACAGAGCACCAAAGACAAAAAGATATTTTAAGTAACCAGTAGGTAAAAGATGATGTCACAGAAAGGGCTTTTAGGCTGCCAACTGATTTCTCATCAGCAACAAACACCAGATGACTATGGAAAAATTATCCTTAATGTGATAAGTGAAATTGCCTGTCTACCAAACATTCACTACATAATGAAAACTTTTAAGAATGAGAACAAAATAAAAATATTTCCACACTAAGAAAACTAAAGCATTACATAAACTACAGGCCCTAACTAAAGGAAATTGAGACACTTCAGATAGGAAAATTTTTCTACATGAAAGCTCTGAAAGAGTGGGATGATCCACCAAGGGTAACACCTTTTAGACTTCCATTTATTAAGAGGTCCAGGATTCTTCAGAATTAACTTTAGATTTTGCTAAGTTTACCAAAAAACAAAAAGGATGAAAAATAATAAGAAGAAAATGACAAAAAATAAATTAAAATAAATAAAATAAAAAATAAACTAAAACTTTAAAAAGAATTTTAAAAGAGGGAATAAAAACTCATGTAAACTTGTACATACCTGAATAAACTAGCTACACAGCATATTATTCAAATTGAATAGAAATAAACAAATTGGCTTCTCTTTTGTGGGGCTTGTTTCCTTTTTCTTAGGGTGTTGGTTGCTGGAGGGGAAGGGGAGAGGAGGGCAAGTCAACTCCCAACCACCTTAGCAGCCGCTGTGGGGGTTGTAGGAGCAAATTTGCCTTCTTTTCTTTTCCAGGGCCAGCAGCCTAGGAAGGATGTAACTAAGTATTAAAAAACTACTTTAGTTTATAATGTAGAACATTGTACAGATCAGTGGTTCTCAACCTGTGGGTCACAACCCACCGGAACTGTATTAAAGGGCCGTAGCATTAGGAAGTTTGAGAATCACTGGTGGATGGACTATCAGAGCTTTTGCAGATATACTGGAAAAAACCTGGTGACAAAGTTGCAGAAAAGGGTAGAAGCATTTTCACAAAAACTTATTTGTTGACTATTTTACTGAAGACGATAAATTAAGCCTCTGATATACAAAATAGGTCCAAAGTTATAGACCATGTTTATAGTCTCTACATACTTATGACCCATAAACATAAATACTGAAAGAATACTTCATAAGCAAAAGATTTCTGCTATAAGCATTCCCTTTATTCCAGAAATACCTGTGTAGACCAGAATAGATTTAAAGTAGGTTGGATTTTTGAGAAGAGATAACACAAAAGAAATCATAAATCCCCTGTAGGCTATCCAGTGATGAATACACTTGGCATTCCTTATTAGTAAATATAAATTTTTTTAGTGTGTAATAATATAAAGAAATATTAAAGCTAATTTTGAATGAAAACAAAACCCAGAAAAGCCAAATAAACAAATACATTATTATAGTTGGAGACTTGAACACACCTTTCACAGAAGGTGATATTCAGTCAACCAAAAATTATGAAGATAAAAATTGAAAAAAAAAATCAGACATATAGAACACATTACATAAAATCCTAAATCTTCCCCCAAACCACAGGAAACCATAAAAAGAACCCAAAAGGCTATAATAGCTTTCCTCAAATTACAAAGTTTTATATAGATGACCTTTTCTGACCAAATTAAACTAGATTGTCCTCCCACAAACATATAGTAGAAGACCAAATCAATTTTCAAGGAAACTCATGAATCAATGAAATAATCATAACAGAAAATAGAAAATGGTATGAAATGAATAAATGTGAAAACACTTGGTGAAAGTCAGAAGATATCTATAGCCTTGAAAATTTTAAATCCAAATACATGAGTTTATTATTGTTGGATAAAAATGAGAGTTTACAAAAAAAAAGCACATCTCAAAATAGAGCACATCTAAAAATAGAAGGGAAGAAATGATCACGATATCATGAGAACTCAATAAAACTAAAAAAAAATGGATCACAAAAGCTATATCTTGAATCTTTGAAGAGACATAAATGAATAACTGAAAAGTGATCAAGGAAAAGTATTAAATAAGGTACACAAACCCATTGGGAATGTAATATTAGGAATTTCTGAAAACAGTGATCAAGGAAAGTATTAGATAACATATAAATATATCAGGAAAATAACATTAGGCACTCTATCCTAAAACAGGGTCAAATAAGCCTACTATTATAACCCTGGTTATAGTAAGGGCCTAGTACCAGGAAAGGACTCAACATTTGAATTCATGAAAAAATGTGGGCTGGTGAATAAAATTATCCTCCCACAATTAGCCTATTGCATACAGCATTTTCCTCCTCGAGTTACAGCTATGTCTCCATGATATGGTAAAGCAACCTGAGACCCCATTCAGGGACTCTTTCCATTTGCACACCCTTTGTTCACACTAGTACCAGCTCTTCTCATGTTATTGGCCTTGAATGTTTGTAGTTCTTCCCACCAGCGTATGAAGATGAACAAATGGTCAACTGAGAGAAACAGAGGACTTTTAATCTAGATGCCAGAGCTTGCCCCCAACCCTAGATGATGGTAAGAAATCAGGTTGTACTCAGGATTTCACAGTCCATCCTGCAATGAGGGTGGAGGCAAGAGACTGAGAAAGAGGAAAAGAGGGGTTAGGCCTGCACATGGGCATGGGAATGAGTTGTTAAGCCTCAACCATCACATAAGCTCTTTCCTCCCACCTCCCAACTGTTCAGTAAGCAGCAGATCTCAGATGCAAAGAGGTAGCTTAGAGGCCCTACCTCCTTCCATACTTCAGGCCAAGAACACTAAAGCCTAAGTTGGAGTCTTACCTGATCTAGGATCCTTTCTCATGCCCTTGTCCCTCAGGGAGCTGTGGCAAACTCACATCTCCAGCAGGTTGTCTGGAAGCCTTGGAGAAATATAACATGTATTAGGGACAGAGGGCATAGCAAATCTTTCAGTCTATCTACCTGCCAACAACCTATCTCACCTCATTCACCTTGAGGGACACGGCACAATCTTTCTCCCTGTCTCCAGTGTTTTGTTCCTGGGGCTGGGTCGGCAGCTGAGTTTTATCCTCAGGGAGTTCCAGATGGACAGGAAGCTCCTGTGGCATCTTTGCCTCAGCCTCAATCTCAGCTTCAGGGAACAGTGGCTTACCCTGCAGTGTACATTGCAGCTGGAGGAATGTCTGGTACCTGGAAGAATGTGGTAGGTGTGAAAGGAGGGAATCTCAGCTAGACCATTCTGGGTATTCAGTCCATGCTCTCAGCCTTACTTCTGTAGCTTGTCCTGTTCCCGTCCTGCCTGCTGCTTTAGGATGTCAAGTTCCTTTTTTAGCCGCTCAAGCTCCTGCTGAGTTTCTGACTGACGCTTCTTTACCTCTGTAGAAACCTCACCCAGATGCTGCAGATGCTTCTCCTGCCAGGAGTGAGGAATGGACATGGCATATCAGATGCTGAAGTATTAGAGTCATCTCCCCTACACCTCCATCCTACACCTAGCTTGGGGCTCAGACTCACTGATGAAAAAAGGGACCCTATTCACTTCTGGCGAAAGCAGGAACTTACAGAAAAGGATCACAGTGAGCTGTTCTAAGGTGGGGCATTCTCAGGAAATGAGCACAAAGATAATGTGCCAGGTATTTCTTTAAGCACTTGCTGTAATGATTATTTAATTACTAACTCTATAGTGTAGGTGCTATTATTGTCTCCATTTCATAGATAAAACAAAGAAAGTTAGGTGACCTGCTCAAGGTCATGCAGTGGTAAATGGTAATGCTGAAATTCAAGCCCATGTTGGAAATTATAATGCCTCTAAGGAAGAAACAAAATGAAGATTTTCTAGAAAGAGGACACAGCCTAGGTATCAGCATGGTGGTAGGAAGGGATGATCTCCCAGGGAGATGAACCTACCTGTTGCAGTTGCCGCTGCTTCTGAGCTGCTCTAAATTTTTCCGCAGCCATTTGCTTCTGCAGGTAACAAAGAAGGCGGATAAGGAGAAGAGATACGCATTTTCCCAGTTGAATTTTTAGGAGATGAGAAATGAGCTAAACCCAGTCTGTTCACTCCTCCCCTCTTCCTGTTGGTCTGCCCTTCCCTCCCTGATTCAATGCCTCTGGGTGCACCTTAGCCTTGAGCTGCTCATGGGCCTCTTGGAGCTGTGTCCGCTTCCTGTGGACCTCTTCCTCCCGAGTCAGGGCCTGGGTCAGGACACTTTTGATGGCCTCCACATGCTGCCGGTATGTGGCCTTCAATTCTTTCCATTGTTCCTTGGCTGCAATTGCCTTCTGTCCTAAGATGAGCCACCAGTAATTAGGGCATAAGTGAGGCTGGCCTGCCAGCCTGCCTGCTTTTCTTCAATCCTGGGCCTCACTCTTACCATCAGCCAAACTCAGGAACTAATTGATATTTTCTTTCCTGCCCCACTCAGGCCAGCCCCTCTCCCAATCCCCTGCCTACTCACGGCTCAAGTCTTCAGAAGCCAAGGGGTCAAGGCCCTGAGTAGGGTTCTCCTGAGCCAGGAAGTTCTGCAAGAAGTCTACCACCTGAAGCTGGCTGCAAAGCAGCCTGTCTTTCTTCTGGGAGTCCTGTTTAGAGAAAGGGTAGAAGCAGGGAACATCTTTACCTCCCTGTCCTGTGGCCCAACCAGGCTAGCCTTCCAATCTGTCAGAATCAACCCCCGACTTCTGAAAGGCTGATTCCCATATTATACATACCATCATAAACTCAGCCAGGATCTGTGCTGGCAGTTCTGACTCTTCCTGCAGGCCTATATGCTCCAGGATGCCTGCCACCTCAGCCAAGACCCTGGAGAGGCAAAGAAAACAGGGAGTCTCCTACTGTACTAGTTCTAGAGAACATGAACATGCACAGATGTGAAGGAGTTTATCACTGCTAAGAGTCTTCCCTTCATTAGGGGCTACTTAGAGGCCAGATGGGTCTACGTCCTCAGACCAGGAATAGTGTGTGCATGGAGAACATACAGTGGTAATAGGGTCAACAGAAAACATAGCAGCAGGTTTGTTAGGTAATTAGAATCTCCCACCCTTCTAGGAATAAGGGTGCCCTGCTTTGGTGCTGTGTTGAACAACTGCTTCACCTGCTAACCTGAGAAAGGTGGGAATGCTTTATCAATCTGAAAATTACCCTTACCCTGCAGGTGGGAACTCATACAGGTAGATGGAATTGAGGACACCAGTGGCTCATTTACAAACAACCTACACTTCCAAGGGCTTTCCCCAGGCCTGGGCCAATAAATGGAAACAACCTGAGTCATTAGGGGAATGAGTCAGGGTCTCTCTCCCTGTTCCCAGAGACAAACTTGTTCCATTTCATAATAAAGAGCTGCTTATGTAAAGCTGCCTGTGGTCCCTCTGTTGTATTGGCATTTTGGTGATTTTTCCCTCCTAAGCAGTCAGAGAACCAGGAGGCTGGACTTGACACCTGGGAGTGTCAGGTCATTCTTAGGACAACAGCACGCCCAGAACCAAGGGCAGACGCCACCCCGACAGGGACAAGGAGTGTGGGGAAGGGGCTGAGATTTTAAACAGGGAGGGTCTCAGAAACACAAACCGTTGAGTAAGGCCCTGCAGACAGGGAGATACTCAGGGAAGCGGAAGGGGCTGCGGACGAAGCTCTGATGGCCCTCGGGGGCCTCCTGAGGAGGGACAGGGGGCAAGATGCCGTGTTCTAGGGTCTCGGGTGTTTCCTTGTTAGGACCGGAGCTCTCTACTGAGAAGCCGGAATGAGGATAAAATTACCGACTGGGAAAGTACTATGTTGGGGGAGAAGTCGGAAATTCAAAGTCCCTTTCAGGATGGAAGGTCTCCTGTTAGAACGGCGCGACGCCTGAAGGGATGTGGAAGCCAGACGGGGATGTGACCGTCCCCTTCCCGGGCACACTCCATCAAGCGGAGCGGAGAACAGTCCCTCAAAAGCCGAACTCCCAGAGCTGCGCAACAATCCCCTCAGAAACCTGTCTGGGGACGGGGATCAGATCACCTCAGGGTAGGGTCGAGTCTAAACAGCTGTATCGCATCGAGAGGGCCAACCATTGCCCGCAGGGTCCCGCAAGACCCGCCCCGCGTCCCTCCCAGATGTTCCGAGGCCCAAACACTTACTCCAGGGCTGCCGCTTCCGTGTGAGTCCCTGCCGCCTCCATTTTTCCCAACGCCAAGTTAGCTGCCTTCACCCCCTCCTCAGAGGGCTTCGTATTCACCGCGCACTGCCCGCCAAGGCAGGCGATTGGCTGTAGGGTTACTGGGCGGAAATAAAGAATTATCTTGCATTTTAATTGGTAGGCTCGGATTCGCGTTTTGGCGCGACCCACCTCCTGACGCAGGCGCAGTTGAGCCCGCGAGCGAACGGTTATGCGCCTGCGCGCTAGCCAATAGGCGGTGCCTGAGACCGTAGGAGGGGCGTGGGCTCCGCGGCGTTGGGTCTGAATTCTTCCGGCTCTGTGAGGAGGATGAAAAATATTGATACGAGTCGCGTCTTTGGGTAACTTCAGGGGATTCACACTTTGTTTAGAAATCCGGGCTGCTTGCTAAGACGCTGGGCATCAGTAATGAATTACTATTACTATCCTGAAGATGCCAAGAGCAAATGGCACGAGCTCAGAAAGCGTACTGCTTTTAAAGTTCTTTTTAAAAAGATGGGATGCAGGGAGAGTGAAGCCAAGTAGAGCCCAGAGTATTAACGTTGACAAGATAGAGCTGAAGTTCCGGGGAGACCGAGGTAGGTAATTTATAGGACAAAGGAGAGAACTGTTCAGAGAACTCAGAGTTCTGCAGAGTTATCTTGAGTATTCAGCCAAATACACTGGAGTGTGTGTCTGAGGAAAGAAACAAAGATGCCTGGAGATCACACAGAGTCCAAAATAGTGGGTATTGGGTGTAGTACACAGAAAAGTTTTGCTTTTATAGTTATTTGTTAATTGTTTAGTAGACAATAATTAGCCCTAGACTGAGCCCTCTTCTAGTGTCACCTAACATCTTAAAAAAGACCCAAGTGGCTCAGACTGTTAAATATACCGCAGACTAAACTTAAGTAATATGGGAAGATGAAATGTTCCATAACCAACAAGGTACAGTGCACATCTAGCATTCAATTAAGAAGTATCAAGCTTGCAAAAAAGGAGGAAAAGAAGACCTATGATGAGGGGGTAAAATCATTTGCTTATTCAAACTGAAAGAGATGTTAGAATCAATACTTAAAACGGCTAAATCTATGTAACTGTATATAGAGAGAGTATAGCGATTATAGCTTTATAACTATATCTCATGTTCAAAAAGTAGAGCTATAGGCTCGGCGCCTGTGGCTCAAGCCGCTAAGGCGCCAGCCACATACACCTAAGGTGGCGGGTTCGAATCCCCAGCCCGGGCTCGCCAAACAACAATAATGGCTGCAACCAAAAAATGGCCAGGTGTTGTGGCGGGCGCCTGTAGTCCCAGCTACTTGGGAGGCTGAGGCAGGAGACTCGCTTGAGCCCAGGAGTTGGAGGTTGCTGTGAGCATGATGCCATGGCACTCTACCCAGGGGGATAGCTTGAGGCTCTGTCTCAAAAAAAAAAAAAAAAGTAGAGCTATAATCAAAAAGATAATAAGTAGTGGTAAGGATGTGGAGAAAGACCATGTCCTGGATGGGAATGATGCATCTTAGCAGTTCTTCGGAATGCTAAATATAGAGGTACCTAAGGCGCTACAATTCTATGCCTGCCTGGATATCCAAGACAAATAAAAACATACGTGCACACAAAAACTTATACTCAGCGTCCATATCGGCATTATTTACAAGGGCCAGAAAGTAGAAACAACTTAAATGCCCATTATCTAGTGAGTGAAGAAATATATCCATTCGATGCTGTTTTATTCAGCAATTAAAAAAATAATGAGGTATGCTGAAATATGAGTAAATCTTGAAAACATCAAATAGACTAAGTGAAAGAAGCCAGCCACAAAAGACCACATAGTATTCCATTTATATGAAATGTCCAGATGAGGAAAATCTACAGAAAAAAAGTAAATTTCTCCAGTGGTTGTCCAGGGCTGGAGGTCAGTGGGGTTAGAAGATTGATGGAGTGCAGGGAAGGACTGCAAATGGATCTGGGCTATCTTTTAAGGGGGTAAATGAAAATATTCTACAGTTAGGTTATGAAAGGGTTGAACAATTCTATACAGAAAGCCATTGAATTTATACTTTATATTGAGCTATTGTTGTTTAAAAGCTTTCAAAAAAGTTAAAGACATGAAATTTATAATAATGACCTTCATCAAAATTGTAGAGATTAACTCTATAATGTGATGGAATTAGATGGCATTAATAGCATATTAAACATTGCAGAATAAAAGTTTAATACAATTGAAAACATTTTTTAGAAACTATCCAAAATGAATCACATAATAATAAAAGAAAACATTAAAAATTAACAATATTAAAAACAAATCAACTCTGAACTATGAGACAACTTCTAATAGCTTAATATACTTGCAAGTGGAGTCTCTGAAGGAAGTACAAGGGAGATATGGAAAAAAAGTAATGACCAAAATTTGAAATTAGATGAAAGTTTTAAGTTTACATATCCAAGAAGCTCTAAACTCCAGACCCAAGAAACATGAAGAAATACACCAAGGCATATCATAATTACACAGCTCCAATCGAGGAGGGATGTTGCCTACAGAGAAACAAAAATAGGGATTATAGGAAATTTCTTGTTGAACAAGCAGCAATAAGACAGTGGAACAACATCTTTTAAGTACTGGCAGAATTTTAAAAATCAACTTTTATTTCTTTATACAACAAATAGCACTCAAAAATGAAGGTTAATTAAAGACATTTTTAGATATACAAAAGTGGAAGGAATTTTTTGGTGTCAGATTTAAACTGTCAGAAACGTGAAAGACATCTTTCTAACAAAAGGAAAATGACAGTTTGAAATTTAGATGTTTACAAAGGAGTGAAATATACCAGAAATGATAATTATATTAGTATTTTTTAAATTTTAGATTAATGTGAGGGTATAAACAACTAGTCTTCAATGTTTGTATTTGTAAGGTAGAGTCCCTCTTACAGTTGTGTCCCAAACCCAAGAGCTGTGTCATATACCCTTACATTATGCCAATTAAGTGGGAGAATATCCATTTCCTTTCTCCTCTCTCTTCCCCACACTGAATTGAGTTTTTCTTTTATGTGGGCATGTATTAGATCATCTACTGACTTCATATTAGCATTGAGATTTTACATTTTTTGTATTAACCTACATGGAGTTGAAACACATTCTTCTTAGTAAAGTATCACAAGAATGAAAAAGCAAGTATTCAATATACCCAATATTTTTTTCTCAATACTTAAATCTTTTAGAAAAAGATAATGGGCTATGTACATAAAAGTAGCAACAATGTGATGTGGGGTTTAATGTAGCACCAAGTGTGGGAGAGAAGAAATTAAACCAAATTATATTTTTCATAGTTTCCTTGAAGTTTATCAATTGCGGTTAGACTGATAAAGCTATGTACTATAATCTCTTAATCAATGGTGTCAGCACAGAAAGTAGTAAAATGGGTACTAAGGAGTCACTCACTTCCTTGTAAGCTCTTTTCCTTTTAAGTGCAGGTGGAAACTGTGGCCAATAGAATATAGTAATGGTGATGGGCTGTCATTCTATTGATTGGGTTACTCATTAGGCAGAGGAGATGGCATATTACTCTTACGCCTGCCTCTATTTCATTATATAATTCTCTTTAGCAGGCTGCATGAATAGATCCGCTGGCCTTAAAGAAGCAAACAGCTATGTCATGAACTGCCTATGATGAGTAGCAGTGGCCTCTTAGGAACTGTAAATAAGTCACAGTTGACAGCCTATAACAAGCCAGGGCCCTTAGTCAAACAGCCACAAGAGGATTGTTTCTGCAAACAGTCAGAATGTGAGCTTGAAAGCAGATTCCTGAGCTTAGAAAAAAGATAGTTAAGTCTCCAGAACTACCCAGTTAATATCTTGATTGCAACTCTGTGAGACCCTGACCAAAATGTTATCTTGTATATTGTGTCTTGTATCTCTGTAATTGCAGAAATCAAACATGACTTGGATATTATAATTTTAATTAATGCAGATTTTTTCCTGTCTTAAAATATGTATACAATTTTTGGCAACCTCTATAAAATAATTAATCAAAAAGTGTGCATTGGGACTCAAACTCTTATAAACCAATGTATATTTTTCCCTTGTTTTATTGTGTGTGTGTGTGTGTGTGAGACAGAGCCGCAAGCCGTTGCCCTGGGTAGAGTGCTATGGCATCACAGCTCACAGCAACCTCCAACTCCTGGGCTTAAGCCATTCTCTTGCCTCAGCCTCCCAAGTAGCTGGGACTACAGGTGTCCACCACAACGCCCAGCTATTTTTTGATTGTAGTTGTCATTGTTGTTTGGCAGGCTCAGGCTGGATTTGAACCCTCCAGCTCTGGTGTATGTGGCTGGCGCCTTAGCCACTTGAGCTACAGGCACTGAGCCTATTGTGTGTTTTTAATACTGTTTGGTATTAAGGAATCCTCATTGTTTTTAAAACAGCTTTATTGAAGTATAAATTATATAGTATAAAATTATCAACTATAAGTATGAAATTCAGTGATTTTATTCCATTATATAGAATTGTGCAATCAGGTTTAAGACATTTTCATTACAGCTAAGAGGTTTATTTTTCGTTTTTTCAGTGAACTCCAGTTTCTACTCCTAGGTATAGATGAACACTGATAAAGTTTTTGTCTTTGCAAAAACTATAGCATTTTCTGGACATTCAGAAAACATACAATATGTACTTTATTTGGATCTGTCTTCTTTCCTGTAACACAGTGTTTCTGAGGTTCATCTTTGTTGTAGCATGCTGTCAATAATTTGTTCCTTTGTGTGAATACATTCCAGTGTGGGGATATAGTACATACAGTTTATCTGTTTACCAGTTGATAGAAATTATATTGTTTGTAGATATTGACTTCTATAAATAATGCTACTGTGAATGTTCCCTTAAAAGTTTTAGTGTAAATGTATGTTTACATTTCCCTTGATTGAGTACCTAGGAATGAGGTAGCTAAGACACAAGATAAGTATATGTTTTGACTTTTTAAGAAAGTGACAAGGTGCTTTCTAAAGTGTGCTACCATTTTACATTCCACTA